CTTGTGTCATTAAAGTTTCGTTGGAACGAAGTTACGGAAAAATCAATTAACAAACAGAGACGTAACATATTCTTAAAAGTGCAAACATGAATTTTAGTGTTCAGACTTAAAAACAAACAAGTGTTTTATGTAAACAACTTTAACAAACAGTACACCCAATTTAAAATGGTTATTGTGACATTTGGTTACACTGAATGAATGGTATTTTAATACCCAGCTGATGTTATTTCCTTGGTACTTGTTTCTCCATATTTTGCATTCCAAACATAGTCATATCCACACAGCAAAATAATGGTAGTTACTGGATACTTCTCTTGACTCTCATGGAAAACTTTACTTTGAACAAAAAAAAAAGGATATGGAATCCCTCTGTGTGTGTGTGTGTGTAATTTGTGCATTCTTAGTAAAATGCTTTTGTAAGGAATCAGTAACAGAAAATTGGTATAATTCTCCATACAAGAAGCTAGTTTATGATTTTTTAGCCCTTCTTGTATCTTTGATCAGTTTTCATTTGCTGGATATGCACTATTGCAAATACATTAATGTTTATAAATATCTTCTGTGAGTAATGACACAACTCATTTTTCCAAAAATTAATTTCATTAATATTATTATTTATAATGTTTGAAATCATTTTAAGTGCTTTTATTTTTCATTACATTTTTAACATTTAGATTATTTTGCATTTTTATCTTAGTTCCTGGGATAATGACTAACCTAAGCTAACCTAAATTAGACAAATATTATTGTGATGAGAATAGCAAAAAAATATTATTAATCAAAAGAACCCAACTAATGATTTTATCATTATGTGTTTTGTTTTTCTTGATTATTGACTTATGTCATTTTCATGTTGCTATGCATAAATGGTTACATTAATCTAAATGTTTATTCAGTTTTCATCTATATCACTGGATTGTTTTTATAAGAAATTTTAATAATAACTATTTTAGGTAGAAATGTTACATGTGTTTTGAATGAACCTTGTACGAATACTATAATGCATTTGTAGTTACAAGGTGATAATATGGAGGAAAAACACTTGACGAATCAATTTTGGGGGTTACCCAAGGTTACAACCATGTCAGTATATTGTCCTTATTGGAGGTCAATAGTGACTCCATATCTGAGAGGATTTCTTCTGTGAGTTCTTCCTAAGTAAAGAAATATCCAGTAAAAAACAATTGCTTACAAAGTACTAAAAATAGTAAATTTGGTAACACATTTCTTGAGCTCAAAAACTGCACTAAGCAATGATGTGTAAAAACAAATGTCAAATAAATGTATAAAAATTTAAAATGTTAAATATTATACATATTGTCATGTGCTTCTATCACACTGTTCTTCTTCAGTCAATTGGCTAACCTGAAATAAAACCATTAGATATATATTTAGTACAATTTCAAACTAACTTAATTCTTCTTTTCTTTAAATTAAGAACTTGTGTTGCAATTGTCTTAACACTAAGACAATACTTACAATACAAGATCTTAATTTTCTTAACTTATCAAACAATTTACATTATAGATGAGTTAGTTCCTTTACTGATGTTACCAGTGACCTTCTGGCTGTATTTTGTTTGACCCATACCATTCCTCATCTTTTGCTTTTCTCAGCTACATCATACAGTACTTTGTTTTTCAGCAGTAATATTCCTTTTGAATCTTGATGAAGATCTTCCATGTTTGCCACTTTCACCTGAATAGTGCCGGGGAGGTTAATATCCTGCCAGTAGAATTGTGCTGAATTTAATAAAAGGGCTTTTCTTGTGACCTTGTCAGCTACCTCATTAAGCTTCAGCCCTGCATAGCTTGACATGTACATTCAAATGATGGTCTTACCATGCAGTCTTTGTTTACTGTCATCTTTATAGGGACCAACCACTCTAGATTTTACACACAGCACTGCCTGTGAGTCAGTCACAAATATTATGTTGGTGGCACTGTCTATCTTACAGTTCATTGCTTTCTGTAATCCAAAGAATAGCTTGCTTTATGGCTTCTAATCTCCATCTTTATATTGTCTGTGGGAAGCTTAAATGCTCCACCAGACTTATGTAGAATGTTGTTACTCCACGAGATGATAAATGTCCAACCAGTTCTCTCACTATCTGTAGTTATGATGACAGATGACTGTCCTCCATGGTCTTTAAGTAGGTGATGACAGGCTTTTACTATTTTACTCTCTGCCCAATCTATGCATGTTTATTCCACATAAGGGCATCTGAGATCTGGTAGTGATGGATTATCTCAGTGGTGACTGTATAGCACCTGGACATGCATGACTATCTCATGAGGTGCCTTTTAGGCAATCTCCTGTTTAAATGGTGTCTGCAAAGTCATTGTGAAGCTAGAATGTCCCAACTGAAAGGACAGTGGCATGACGATGGAATGCATAGTTTTTACACAGCAAGGTCCTAGTGAAGAATTTTGCTTGTAAACATTATTAGTGCTCTGCAATGCTGTTGAGACTTGTGTGGTATAATAGAGCATTTATGTGGGTGGTTGAAGTACATCTTATGACCAGTTTTAAACAGTGTTTTGTATCTCCTCAAACTTACCTAACTGCATAGCACTAATAATGATTACCAGTAGTGCATAATTCAGGATGGAATGGATAAAACATTGGTAGAGCGTAAGCTGATGACGTCCTTCAGCTTTATTTCATGCTGCAACTTTCATTACGTTGATGCTTTTGGTAGCTCTGGTTATCATGGAATTAATATGGCTGGTGAAGTTGTCTATCAAAAGTTATCTCAAGGTTCTTTAGCATTTCTTTCTTAGGGAGATCATTGCCCTTAAAGGATGGTGATGATTTGTCTGCATCAACATGTCTTGTTAGTGTGTAGGATATGGCTGTAGTTTTGGCAAGATTGATAACCATTACTGTGTAATTGCACCACCCCGTAAAGGGATGGTTACATCTTGCTTTCAATTTCAGCTTTCCTACAGCCTCTGCTGTTCATCAGAATGTCTTCAACAAAGGTTAACACATGGCTGTAGTTTTGGCAAGATTGATAACCGTTACTGTGTAATTGCACCACTTTCCCACTCTACAAAGGAATGGTTGCACCTTGCTTCCTATTTCAGCTTTGCTAGAGCTCCTGCTGTACATCAGAATGTCTTCAGCAAAGGTTAGCACATGGCATCTGGTTGGACTATCAAGACAGGCTAGATCCTTTGTGTAGATGTTGAAAAGAACTGTCAAGAGCAGTTATCCTTGAGATAGGCTAGTATTGATGGTGATCCTGTTTAATTGAAACATTTCATGCTTTATGATGCATCTTCTAGTAGTTATTCCAGCTATGACCCATCTTAAATGTGTTACACTAATGCTAATTCTAATCACTTTATCAGCAAGAGTGTAAATATCTTCCAGATCTAAAGCTACTGCTAAGATATTCATACCAGCTTTAAAGCCTTCATATATTTGATTCTCTTCCACTGTAATAACTACTTAATGATGCCAGTAGTTGTGGTTCAATCTGATAAGCAAGCCTCCTAAGTACAGCTGAGTTCACTCAACTTGCAATCTGTGGTTTATGAGTAAGAATCCCATCCCAAAAGATGCTCACCCTTTCAGCTGTGGGGGAATTATAATGTGACAGTCAATCCTATTATTCATTGGTAAAGAGTAACCCAAGAGATGGTGGTGAGTGGTGTTGGCTAGCTGCATTCCCTGTAGTTTATCACTTCAAAATTTGGGACAGCTAGCACAGATAGCCCTCAAGTAACCTTGCATGAAATTCAACAAACAAGCTACAGCCTTCTCTGCCAATGATGCTTTGTAAAATAATGATTCAATAGCCTTTAAGAAAAGAGTGATCCTTCATGAATTTGGCAATGCAGGGATGTTACCTGTTGCCTAGCTACCTTGATACTCTGACACTAATATCAACAGGTTGGCTTCTAAAAGTTTCTTAAAGATGGAGACTGACGCTATACAGCTGGAGCTCCATCTTTAGATGTATTTATGGCTCTGTTTATTTCATTAAAGCTAAAAATGGCTTCCACACTTGCATGTAGTTGCAGCTCAAATAGAGATTGCCATATCTTGATCTTCTCCTGAATAACACCATGGTCACATTGGTTAATGTATCTGCAAATGAAGGCCTTGTCTGGATCTTCACCTGTACACAGTGCAGTACCATTATTATCAAAAATGACTCATATTTCAATTAATTTGATTCCTGTGCCAGCCATAAGCATGTAGAAGTATCAGGATGATGCACTTTTGAGGTTGGCCTTGTTACATAATATACATTACTACAACTGTTAAATAAAAAAGTTATCTTCATTTAAAGTCAAAATAACATATACTGCACATGAACATTTAAATATAACATAGCATATGAAATATAAAAAAACATAAAAGCAACTACTTTGCAATATAATTTCTAAAAATACACAGAAATTAATGGTTAAGGCACTTTTTCTTTGCTTTACAAGTCTGGTTATGCACAAACAATACTATCACACCATTTAATGAATTATGACATTCTTTTATCTAATATACTGAGTAAATACTTGGCATATCATGAACCACAACACTTTCACATAATTTCAAAGTTTCTATAAACCAACCAACCTGTTTGGCCGAGTGTCCACCTGGTCACTCCAATAAAATGGAGTTCCGTCTGGTCAGTATGGAGCTGGCATCATCAGTATCTAGAGTGTACACTGTACACTGTGGCATAAGAAGTTAAATATCACTTAGGTATGAATTCAGTGTGTACCCTAGTCATTTGCCATATGCATGTACATGTGCACAACATTTGTCAAGAAAATATCTTAAATAAAATTAATAACAGGTTGGGTTGACTTGCAGTTGCTACTGTACTACATCAAGAAAATTAGCATTTACAAATTACACGTATTGCGGACCTATTTTTTGAAGTTCTTAATGTGTTTTTGTTTTATTTTTCAAATTTATAAAACATTTTCTTTAAGCAGGGAATATATAAATTACTGCAGTCTAATTATGGGTATTCCCATTACCTTAAGAGCTAAATAATTAACTTTAAGAATTGTTGTCATGTGAAAATATTTTTAAATAAAACTACCTCAGTGATTATTTTGAATTTTGCACAAAGCTACCCAAGAGTTTTCTGCACAAACATCCCTAATTTAGAAGTAATAAACTGGAGGGAAGACAGCTAGTCAAAACCACCCACTGCCAACTCTTGGGTTACTCTTTTATCATCAAAAAGTAGGATTGACAGTCATGTTATAACACCCCATGGCTGAAAGGGTAAGCATGTTTGGTGACTTGCAGGTTGCAAGTCAAGCAGCCTAACCACCAAGTCATGCCAAGCTGTCTAAATCAGTGATATAGGGTAAACACTAAATCTAAGTATTTCATGCTGTCAGGAGCCCCCTTTTTGTAAATTTTTAATAATTATTAAACATACTAAGCATAGATAAGTACAAAGGTTAATACTGGTTCTATAAATGGTGTCTTACACAGTACATATGTATGCAAAAGTAAATTGATATATGACAACTGTAAGTATGAAATCTCTCATGACAAAGTAATAAGGATTAATGCACATATATTTTAAACTACAAAGTATATATACTTATGTATGGAAGTTTGGAAAAGCTTGATGAACAAAGTAGTTCATCAATTTATTTAGTTTTTGCTGCTAATGTCTCATTAATTTGATAACCTGTTTTTCTTAATTTCTTCCAATTTTCAACTAGAATCCATTTTCCAAGTTTTTATATTTTGGTATTTTTTTAAATTAACGAAGTGTTTCTCCATTTTGTTTGAAGATACTGCCAGACAGTCTATAGCCAAAATTCATATGATCTTTGTGACACAATTAAAATACTTATACACATTTGATACTGACAAATTGAAATATTTAAACAACAAAAAGAAAAAATACAAGCAAAATTAAGTATAGAGTGTCTTTACTTCTCAAACAAAAAACTCAATTTATTTGCAAATCTTCAGCCATAGGCCTGTATCAGACAGTTGTCAACTGTATAAGAAATAAGATTTTACTGTACCTAAACCCCTTCCTTGTTCATTCATTTATATGACATGTTATTTCTGTTATTTATAGTACACAAGCAAAAGTACCTGTCCCCGGAGACAGGAAAAGTTTAAGTTAATCTAGCAAAAGTACCTGTCCATAGTGATGGAAAAAGTTTAAGTTAATCTATCAATTTAAGTTATTTCATGGACTTTAAAGAGGTTAATTGTGTTGCACTCTTGATTTCATTCTGAGTCACAGCTATGAGCTACTTATACTGTGAAAAGTAATTGTTGAGTATTTCTGTCATGCTAAGAGCTGTTCAACAATAACATACTGTAAATCTACATTTTTATTCTTTAAGTTACATCACATTTTGAAATGTGAGTGATTAGTGGGATTAATTCCTAATAATTTAGTGTAGAATATCATTCTTGTTAAATAAAATTTGGCATCAATATTATTCATGCCTGTTCTCCTGTCATTTCAAAAGTGAATGTTCAGCTTTACCTGCATGCACAGCTTTTCAAATGCAGTGTGGGAAGTGGCTGTCGTAAATGAGATACAGATGATTGCTAGGACAGATACCATGGTTTGTAATATACATAAGATAAAGTTTGATGAGATTAAACAATGGTTCAAATTAACTGTTGATACTTATGACATTGTTGGATGTCTTTTTGAGCTAACATCTTTTGATACATACATCCTGCCCTACCTGTACTAATATTCTAGCACATGGCTGCAGTGCAACCTTCTGTAATAATCAGACATTTAAAAAATATTAAGTAATGTTATATCTCCTTCAATTATTTTAAACCTTTTTGTTTTTGATTGCTTAGAAAATGAATTTACAATACTTTAAAGTTATCGACTAATTACTTCTTTTTTCTGGGTGGGGGTTCAAATGTTTGATATGTTTTTGTAAATTCCTACATCTCAGGTATGTTTCAATTATATATCATACTGAAATATCTTCACAATTATGTGATATCTTAGTATACAGAATCTAAGTTATGTGATATTGCTTACTGCAAATAGTACATGCTTGGCTGATTATCAGTTTTCAGAATAAAGACCTGTCATTGCCAAACAGTTTTCTCAGGTCTCAGCACTGTTCCAGATTGATGATATACTTAGCATATGAGAGTGCATGGACATATAAATCAATCACTAATCTATACACACACACACATTATTATATTATATTAACAACCTAAAATGTCCGTAATCAGACTACAGAGGGTTGAGTATGTTATACTAAAAATAGTTTGAATATGTAAATCAGTAACTACATTACAACCACAGATGATATAAAGTTGCAGTGGAATGGAATGTACCATAAATACATTTTGATGTTGTTTGGCATTTCACAGTTAATGTGTTACCACCAAAAACTGATAGTTTTTAGGAAGGGTATGTAACAGCCCTTTAATACACTCAGATCATAAGGATCAGAGAATTGAGAATTTCCAATACAAGAATATCCCTTGTATCTAATGAAATTGGAAAACAAAGGAATATTGATCATTTCATGGCACCAGGACCATCCAGAAAGAGACTTTTAACAAGTTATACCCTAGCTGTAGTAAGCAATGTGCAGCATCTTGTAACAGGTGAGAATCCAGGTCAGTGGAGAAAGCCATAAATGTGCCCCAGGCAACAGTATGAAACGTAATCAAGAAGAACTTCCTTCTGAAAATGAGGCCAACAGGTTATGGGTTCACCAAAATATGGTGGCTTCCAGTCATACCTCCCATTCAACCCCTGCATAATACAAGTAGCTGGAAAATGAAACAGGTCAGTGGAGAAAGCCATAAATATGCCCATGCAACGGTATGCAACATAATCAAGAAGAACTTCCTTCTGAAAATGACACCAACAGGTTATGGGTTCACCAAAATATGGCTTGCAGTCATACCTCCCATTCAATCCCTGCATAATACAAGAAGCTGGAAAATGAAACAGGAAGATATACCAGTCAAGTAACCAGATGCATTGCCTATGGATTTCTGTGCAGTCAGACTGTGGAAATGGATACTTGAAACTATTGTCCTTGTACACTATATGGATTATGGAAAGCAAGTGGGAAGGACTTGTGTTTGGACATGACATCCTTACAAAGGAGCCTTTTGCAATGAAAATTAAGCTGCAGGGCTATTGTCAAGATGCATGACTAGATGTGGCAACATGGACCGTAATGAAATAGTAAGGCTACAAAATTGTTTTAATATAATGCACTCAATCTCTGGATTTAAAACTTCTGCATTAAAGAAACAGGTAGTTGGACAAAATATAGGTATTCTGTATCCTCCTTTGATACAGAATACATTGCTAAACTCAATCTTCAGATATATGAAATGTGCCCCCCTATGCAAACTGAGCCAAGAAATTCACACATTTACATGCATTTCTTGACTTATCAGTAATGCAAATACTTTTAACATTAGTTGGTAGAAGAAAACTTGTACTATGCTAATCAATTTCCCAGTTTATATAAAACTGAACACTAAAAAGGACAAAAAATGAATAATATGATTATTTTTAACAAATCTGAACACAGACATTAGGAATGTTTGATGCAATAATGTAACGTGTTCTGCCATCATTTTAAAATTACAACAAAACTAGGATACACACTGATTTCTCCATTCTATTATGTAAACAAATATGTAATTTGTGTTTAGGTTACAAGAACAGAATCTAAATGAACCTTATAAAATTGTTAGAATCCTTCAACTGCCAAATCTTTTTCAAGTATAAGTATTAAACCAATAGAGATACTTGGACAGCCAGCTGTTAACCACTTAGATAATAAACAGCAAACTGGTTATCACATTACAGCAAATAGTAAATTGAAAGTTATATAACTGAATTCACCTGTATACTGGGTACTAAGTCATCAGAATCCATGTTTTCACTGCCCAGGTTCAGATTGGTGCTCTGGAGTCCTTCTATATTGATATCACTTCCTATGTTTTGAAAAAAAAAGTTTTAAATCCTCCAACAAATATTTTAAAGCAATTTATATTGTACTTAACCATACTTCAACAATCTTTCCATTAAAGTTAAAAAAAAATCTGCCATGTATTTGTAAGGCATATAGGGTTAGTGCTTTTAAACTCTAGTTTCAAGTGGCACAAGCAGATGGAAATGGTGACCCTTTCCTCCTGGACAGGATGCCAGTCCACAACAGATTAGCCCCCCAGTTAATAGTTGGTACTCACCATACAATTTGGTAGGTTCTTACAAGTAGAATAAAGTGTCATCTTAAGGATACAACAGCATGATGAGGATCAGCCTCAAACCCGCAATAATCTAACTATGAGTCCAAAGTGCAAAGCTACTGAGAAATACTATTCCTTTCCATTACAGCAGGAAATAAAAACAGATGTATAATTCACGTACAACATGAGGCACTGTTAAAAATCTTCACAAAGTTTGATGTCTTTATGACACAACTACATTTCTTATTGCTTTAGAAGAGAAGTAAATATTTGCATTAATTCACTAGTCTCAAAAAGGTTTTAGATTAAACATACCTAAGGTGAAGAGAAGCTTTCAAGGTTGATTAGGAGATTGTTTTGTTTTATTGCTTTAACTTTCACTAACAAAGTAAAACCTTTACAACTTTCAGAAATTTCTTTTAAATATATATATATCTAACTTGTATCAATAAAAGGCAATAAAATAAAATTCTGAAGAATTTTTGAATTATTTAAATGAGCAATGAAACACAATAAAAAGAGTGTCTGTAAAATGTTAAAAACAATCAAACCACCACCTCCACCATCCATCGTATCTTCTAAACTTCCAAGGAAATTCTCTGGAGTGTGAGGTACACTATAGCTGGTACCAAGACCAAGTCCACTGTCCTCACTTCCTTGTCGAGCATGCTGATTGGAGCTTCCCAGGAGAGGGTCTATACCTGTTGTGCAAATAGGAGTCATGTCCATTGTGGTTACAGTTGGAGATTTTGGAATCATGGGATTTTCTTCCACTAAATTCCTTCTTAACATCATTTCCTATGGATCATAACAGAAAATTAATTCTACTTAGTGGTTATTGCTGTGAAAAGTCACTGGTAGCTGAAATCTGTATTACTAAGTGTTCTATTGTACTAAATTTAGAAAATGTTATACTGAAATAGGGTATTTTAATGTTTTATATAAATTTTGTTAGTCAGCATTAGTGTAATAATAAAATATGTAAGCAAAGTGTACTGCTTTTGTAGATTTGACCTAAAAAATTTCACTCTGTGCCAGAAACATTACTATAGCATCAGACATCATGCCAGAAACATCACTATGTTTCTGAGCAGTGTGTGGTAATATTGTCACTGATCTGAAGTACGTCATCTATATGTCACCATTGGGTTATACTACCTGTACCATCTTACAATATGCAATAAGCACTGAGGTGCAATACTTTAATGATATGAGCTATGCTATTTCAATGCCACAAACACTGGGTAGTATCATACTTGATCTGTACTACATCCTCTGACAATATGTCACCAGCACTAGACTGTACTGCCATAACTACACTATACTCTTTGACAATATGCCAGTAATACTGGCTTATAATACCATAACTACACTAAACTATAATACTTGCAATATCGCACTTGACCTCTACATTAATGACCCCAACAAGTTAATCCACATCCCCAGCACACTTTTTTGCTTCGCTCTTAGAATTTACAACTAAAACCAACTTCATTTTCAACAATGAACATTTCCTTCAAATAGATGGTTTAAGTATGGGCAATCCTGTTTCACCTGTTCTTGCCAGTATATTCATGACCCAGATCAAAACACAAGCCATACATTCTGCACTTCATCCTCCACTATACTGGTACAGATATGTCCATGACATTTTTGCTGGTTTTACTTCTACAGAACACACACTAACTTTCTTTGAACACATAAACTCCATTCATCCCAACATCAAATTTACCATAAAACACTAAAACAATAAACAGTTATCTTTTCTTAACCTCAACATTATTAGATTGGACACACAGTTTAAAACCAAAATTCACTGTAAGAACACGCACACTGGCCTATACATCTCCTGGAATTTTGCTCATGCCACCACACCAAAAAAACGCACTGAAAAACCTCATAAACACAGCCACAAGACTCTGTTCAATGGACTACATAGATGAAAAAATCAACCACATAAAGCATTCCTTCATTCACACCAGCAAATTTCCACCAGCTATTGTTGAAAAACTCTCCATCATTCACCACAACAAAACTCAACTCACAAACAAAATTGATACTAACAAACCCGACAACAGAACATTACATTGCAGTTTACCTTTTGTCCCTGAAACCAGCTTAAGAATAATCCACAATTGGATTATTAAAATCATTACTAAACAAAAATTATTTAGAATCACACAATATCAATGTCATTTACAAAATAACATGCCCAGAATTCTATATCGGAGAAACAGGAAGAAAATTGGAAACCAGAGTTTTCCACCATTACAACTCAAAAACCGTAGTATATCTATTAAAAACACAGTAATTTTAAACAAAGACCAAACATAAACAAACAAAAAATCAAGGAATTCCATCTTAAATGAACAAAACAACCCTACTCTAAACCAACACCCTGGAGTGCAACAATATCTCTTCTAAGTCTTGCAACAATGTCCAGTCTTGTGACCTCTTTGTTCCATACTGTATAT